CTTCCCCCGTCACCACCACTCCCGACTCACCCTCCAAGCTCTCGGCCTCCACGCTGAACCCATCCTCACTGCTGATCTCAAAGCGCAGATGCGGGCCAGCCCGTTTGGGGGCCTGGTTCTCTTTGTCCTCTGGGGACGGAGGCTCTTCCTCGGAGCTTGAAGCCTCACCTGGTCCCAAGCAGCAGGTCAGAGCAGGTGAGGATCACCCCTCCTGGACCCCAGGGTCCCAGGTTCCTCACCCCCTCCCTTCCTCTCCCTGCACAAGCACAGATACTTGGTCTGAGGGCTCTCTTCCTGCTCTCATTGCCCCGTGAGCCCTACAGGATGGACATCGTTTTTCTCTAAAGAGCCCGCGGTCCCTTTTCTGTGAGAGTTCCTGGAGAGATGAGCATGTCCACAGAGGCTTGGAATGCCCTGGCTCTGCAGGACACGCTCTGACACTCTGGCTCACTCCAACCCATTTTACCAAAAATGCCCATCTACCCTTCATTCTTCTCTCACAGAAAATTAGAAGTACCAGAAGTATCTTTTGCACATGCATTTTTTTATACGCAAACTTATTATATAGGCTCCTACCCACAGAGTCGAGTATATGTACGTTACGAGCAATTTAAGGGACTTCTCAGGGGCTAAAGATTTTCAAGACGGAACAGACAGGACTTGCTGCTGTAGGAGACGGGGATGTGAGAGCCAGTGGAGGGTCAAGGACAACTCTGAGGTTTGGGGCCTGAACAACGGGAATGGTAAAACTGCCGATGATGAGACAGATGGTGAGGGAGAGGGAGGAACAAGTTTGGGGCGAAGGCAGAGAACTCAGTTTCGGATATGCTGAGTCCGAAATTCCTCTTAGAAAACCTGCCCTTGCAACCTGCCAGTGGAGACAGGGAGCAGGCAGCAGGATCTAGGAGCCTGGCTACCAATCCACCGGCTGTCAGAATAAGAGATGGGATTTAGAGCCATGAAGCAGATGAGAACACCCAAGAGTAGGTACAGACAGAGAAGTCAAGGCCGGGGCCCTGGGACATGCCAAAGTGACAGGCTGGGGCAAGGAGGAGGCAGGATCGGGGTGGGGGGGAGGGGCGGGTGTTGGAAGCCATCGAAGGAAGTGCTACAAGGAGGTGGGAGGGGGGATCAGCTCAGAGGCAGTGGCTCGCTCAATCACGGTGGGTGCGGACTGAGGGCTGACCGTCAGGTCTGGAGGGGGAGGGTGGGGAAAACCTCAGTTCGAGTGGAGCGTGCTCTGGAGGAGAGGCAGGGCCCGCGTGGCCACGCTTGCGCCCCACACCACTCCTCTGGGCCAACCCGACCGTGTGCCCTCCCAGCCTGAGGCAAGACTCCAAACCTGATTTGCTGTACGACCCAAACCATCTCCAGGCCTCAGTGCCCCTGGGCTCACCTCTGACAACTTCCTCCACCTCCTCTTTGCCCGTACCCCAGCCTCACCTCCATTCTGTTCCCTGAACCCGACAGGCTGACTACAGGGGCCTCACCCGGGCGCTCTCATTGCCTTCTTTCTCACGGCGCTCGTTCTCAGCTGCAGTACACTTGCTAACGTACGTGTCTGTTTCCTCTACCAAAATGTGGCGTGGTCCCTAAGGGTGGGGACCTGTCCGTCATGGTCACTGCCATATCCTCACGCCACCTCTGACCCCCATACGCAGTCTTTCAGTTAAGCGGTCTCTTGTGTACCTCGCTCCGCTTCCACGCTCAGTAACTCAGCGCTACGTAATGAGACAATCCACACATCCGGGCAGGCCTGGGGCCAGGAGAAATCCCGAGCCTCAGGCTGCTCAGTTACCAGCTTGCTTGGCTGTAGCCTACCCCCTCTCCCATGGCCCTCTGTAACCAACAGAGCACTCACTGCCCTCCCGGCTTCACCAAGGCTGTCAGCCCAATCCACTCCACGCACCCCTATCCTGGGTCCGGATGGCTCTGCACGTGCACTGACCTCCCCTTTCCTCCACCTCAGCGGCCCCCTATTCACATCCAACCACCACGCCTCCTCCCACGTCTGCTTCCATCCACAAGCCCCCTTCACCCTCCTCCATGGCTTTGCCACTCAGCCCTCATACAAACCTCTCTGGGCTGCCGCCCACCCCCTCTCCTCTCAGACCCTTAGCCAAGCTTGCCGGCAAGATGCCTGGGTCTTGTTTTAGCTTCCTCATCAACCACTGTCTTCAATTCTAGACCCTGACACAACATCCTTCCCAGCCAGTACACCAACCCTAGACCCCACATGCCTGGGGTCCTCTTAATTCTCCTTCCTACTCTTCCTGCCCCTCTGGATCCTAGATGAGCTCCATCCTCGCTGGCTGACCCCCAGGTGCTCGTCTGGCTGCACGGCTCTAAATCCCGTCTCTAATTCTGACAGCCCCCACACCAGGGACCTAACCCTCTGACCCTGGCAGATCAGGCTCTGAAGCCGACCCCCTGGCTCTTGGGCACTTTTGAAGGGCCTCTCATGTGGAGCTGAAACTTCATCTCTCTGCCTTTTTCTGCCATGGGCCAGGAGCTCCGAGGGCATCTCTCTAACTCCGAATACCTAGTCTCAGGCTCAGAGCCAGACTGGTGCACAAGGTCTATCTTTTGGAGTGGACTGACTCCACATCTGACCATCACCCAGCTGAGGCAAGCATAAGGAAGGAGGCAGGGAGAGCAAGAGGCTGGTCCCTACCTGAGTAGTGGTGCCACTGGGACTCAAGCAGCAGGTCAGGGGGACCATCGGGGGCCCGGGGAGGACCACCTTCTGGGAGTGGCAGCAGAGGGGACCGGTCCTGGAGGAGCCTGTGAGGAGAGACCTGTCAGAAAGAGGAAGGGATGGAGGTCCCAGAGCCTCCAGGGAAAGGGCGCTGGCTACTCACCTCGGACTTTCCTCCCCAGTGGGTTCCCCAGGCTCATCCAAGTCGAGAACTCCACGCACTGTGGGCGTTTTCATCCTCACTCGGCTAAACCTGGGGGAGGAACCCCAAGAAGGCTGAGCTGCCTTCTCCTGCCCACCTCTCTCACCCTCCTCCACAGACTCAGCACATTCACTCACCCGCTGCCACTAAGCCCTGGACCCTGGGGAGCATCCTCCAAAGACTCTCTGTCTTCCTCCAGCCGGGGGGTCTTGTTTGGGGGAGGCGCTGGTGGGGAACGGCCAGAGAAGGTGGACACCCTCTTGACGCGGATGGCCTGATGAGGCGGGCTGGGGGGCCCACTGCTCAACACCAGTGTCAGTGGAGGAGGGGGGGGTGGTGGGGCGGGGCGGACCACCCCTACCACTGGCAACACACCCAGCAGAGGTCCCGGGGGCAGAGTCCAGGAAGCAGGGGCTGTGGGGGGGATGGGAGGGGGCAGAGGTGGCTGCTTCACCGGGGGTGAGACGGGCTCACCCTCCCCAGCCATCTTCACAAACACTTGCCCCAGCTTGTTGACAAGGATGATTTTGGATGTGGCGGGTTTGGGAGGCTCAGGGGCAGGGCCCAGGCTCAATACCCGGACCCCTGGGGCCCCAGGAAGCCAGGCAAACGTCCGAGTGGGGTCAGCTGGGCTAGGGGGCAGGCCCTGGGGAGGCTGGCTGCCATTGGCCAGGGGAGGTGCTGGGGGGAGGGGCTCCTCTCTGGGCCCAGCACCTCCCTCCCCAGGCCCCCCTAGGTTCTTCAACACAAAATCCACAATTTCTGATGGCAAGTCCTCAGGAGGTCGGGTTCTGTCCCCTGCAGCCCCGATGACCCCGGCCCGGCCCACTCCTGGCCCCGAAGGAGGAGTCCCCTGGCCCCGAGGCTGCTGGATGGCCTCTGCCTCACTGTCCGTGCCGTCATCCACTCCATCCAGCTGTTCGATGCGGGGGGCTCCAGGAAGGGCACCAGGGGCCAGGGCAGGGCCAGACACCACAGTCACAGGGAAGTGGACATAGCGGGGGGTAGGGCTGGCCTCTTCCTCTGAGCTGTCCCCTGGACCCCCGTGGCCGCTCCCCACTGCCCCCGCAGCCACAATCTCTTCCTGGAAGGGCTCAGTCCCCAGCAGGCTGGCCGCAAAGTCCAGGTCAGCAGCACTCAGTCCTGACACCACCTCCATGTCCTCAAAGTCTGGGCCCAGGTCTTCAGGGGGTGGTGGAGGAGATGGGGCTGGGCCAGGGGGAGCCAGCTCCCCTGAGGTAGGCGTGAGGGCTCTAACGACTGAGGTAGGAGGGGGCACCCTGAGCTGTGGGGAGGTTCTGAGAGGGGGAGAGGCCCGCCGTGATGCCGGCAGCCTTGGGGCCAGGGGGCTGGGACGACGGGAACGTCTGGGGGGAGCTGGGAAGTCCAGGTCTCCCACCGTGGGGATGTGGTGGGTCAGAGAAGATGGACTTCCTGTGGGGGGAAGGGTCAGTGTCAGCGATGAGCTCCTGCCTCACCCACCCACCCCTCTCCCTGACACTCCCAGGTACTCACCAGGGGAGGGCAGGGGTCCAAAGGAGACACCCCCCAAGGGCCTCCGGGATGGTGAGTAGTTGGGCACTTTGATTCGAGCCCCTGAGAAGGAGCGGGGAGCCAGAGGAGGGGCACTGCTTGGATCCGGCCGAAGTGGGGGGTCCAGGTTCTGAACAGGTGAGTGGTGCTCAGGAGCTCCAGGGATAAGGGCATCTGCATCTGGAAGGGGGTCCACATGATCTGGGGGCTCTGAGGAGGCAGGAGAACGGCATCAGGAATGGCAGGGGCTCTTTGTCAAAGCCTCTCCCTACACACCCTCCCTTCTTTTGAGCCAACCGAACCTTTCCCACCCCTGCCCAATGGTCCGGTCACAACGTGCACCGGTTCCCAGTCATTGCCCAGGTCCCACACCCCTCTGTGGCTTCTTCAAAGCCTCCACACACAACTGGATCAGGGGCCCTTTGTAACCCCTCCTCGCGCATCTCTGCCACCTCCCCTGTTCCCGGCTGCCTACTGTTCTGACTCAGGCCCCGCATGCCGCGAGGGGCACTGCCCTCTCTCCAGCAGGGCCAGTCCTACCACTTTCTCACCTGTGCCGCGCATCCCTGCCACATCAAACACATCTGCCACATCCTGGCGCTTGGAGCTCCCCATTACCTGGCTCCACCCAATCTGCGAGAACAAATCTCTGCCGCCTCCTCCCAACACTCTCCTGCTACCGGGCAGGATAGCTGCACCCTCTCCTCCCCTCTCTACTTCATGTCATGCTCCAACCTGGCACAAACCCCTTCCCTGCAAACACACTCCGAAAGTCTTCCTCCTCCTATTCGGCCCACAAGCTCTCCTTTTACCAGTCTCCAAGCCCAATCTTTGCTGTGTGCCATCCGGCTCTCAGCGACATCCCTCAGCACTGGCATGGCTATAAGGGGACTGATTTGGCTCACACCCCGATGCCAGGACTGCGTTACCGTGCAGAGCAAGTGCCCTTTCGGAGCTGTAGTACAGCAGAGCGCATGCCTTCCTTAGAGGGCTGTGGGGAGCATCTCGGGAGCACACGTCCCAAGTCAGGTGGCTGTAAACACTGTCTAGAAGCTGCTCCCCACCCCCTAAGCAGGTGGCTCTCCCCTCACTTCCTGTGAAACGCTGAGCACAGTCCCCGGCACGTAATGCAAAGCTGTTAAGTGATCAGTTATTGCCGTTATGACGAAAGGAAGAATGGCAAACATCCTGGGGTTTCTTTAAGGAAGAGGGGAATGGGGTTGGTGGGTAACCACTTGGGGAGGGCAACATTCAGGGAAGGAAATGAGGGAGTTCCAAGGCACGTACCTGAGGAAGGGGCGGGGCTGTGCACAATGGTCTGATTCTCCTCTGCTGCCTCCAGGTGAACTGGCTCTTCCCTCGGACCCCACGGCCGATACTCCAGAATACGACACCGATACCAGCAGCGCCGCCGAGCATCCACTGTGCTCCAGTACAGACGGGAGCACCTGTCAGGTGGGCGTGCGGGTAAGAGAGTCAGGACAACTCGGGCGTTGGGCTCCTGTCCCGGAGTCCTTCCACCCCACCCAGGCCCCCTGGGCTGCTCACTGGTAGCCAATGGGGAAGAGCCGTCCCTCGCAGTCCGAGAGATCAGACAGGGTACCCAAGGAGTCAATTCGGATGGAGCCTATGATGCAAAGAGATCAGGAGGGTGGGCCAGACAGGGTCAGGAAGACCAGGGCAGAGAGCAAGAGGCTTACCAATGAGCACATTGATGGCATCAGGTTCGAGCCCCGTCAAGAACTTTCGCTTAAAGTTGATGCCCTCGAAGTCCACATAGACTCGGCGGAGAACATCAAAACCATCAGGGGTCACAATCTCCTGGAAGGTGGGTGGCAAATGGGGTTGCTAGATTGGTGAGGGGCAAGGGGGATGTGAGGGAAGGCTCTGAGGCAGGGACCGGACAGCTGGGGCCTTGGCTCAAGGACTCAGGAAAACAAGGAACACACTAAGAGGCAGCTGGGGACAGGGCTGGGGGGTGCAGGGGTCTACCAGTGTAAAGGGAAGAGAAAGCAGCGGGAAGCTGTCTCCCCCATGGTTCTGGCTCACCTTGCCATCCAGCAGGTCTGTGTGTTTCTGGCAGAAAACTTTCTTGTCATCCTGGAAGATGCAGTAGCTGGCCCGGGCACACATGAAGTGGAAGTTGCTGAGGCAGGAGGAAAGGCAGCAGCCCACTGTGGCTCCAGGCTTCAGGCAGAGTTCACAGCGCTGCGGGAGGAAGGGGCTGCTGAGGGGAGAAGCCAGTGACCGAGACCAGCGTCCGATGCTCAGCATCACTGTCCTTGAGACTCTGCTTGGGCCCGTCTAGCCCAGAGCCTCGCAAAGCAAAGGCACTCATCAAACATACCCTCTTCCCTAGCTGCATCCAGGGCCAGGTGCACATCAAAACTACTTCAGATTTTCTGAAGCAATAGGAAGAAAAATAACATCTAACACCAAGCAACATCTGCCATCTTTCTCACACCATTTAAAAAAATATATTTAAGTAATTACTACATTTTACACGTGGGGCTTGAACTCGTGACCCCAAGATCAAGAGTTGCATGCTCTTCCCCTCTCATGCTATTTTAATATAAAACCTGTATCATTTTATTTAATCTTCACATTTGCACCACCCCCCCACGTCCCCAGTACGTATCACCTCATGTCTCACTTCCTGAGCCTGAGACGTTATACGGCACCACGTCCCACACTGGTGAGGAGGGGGTTCTAACCCAGGCCATACCTCACCTCACGGGGACCCAGCAGGAGCTAAACGTCACACAGTAGAGAAAGCCTCCAGCACAGGATCAATCAACAGAAGCTCTTCTAACTTTTAATCTCCCAGGCTTCGGGCCCAAATATGGGGGAGGGAGAGCCACTATCCCTGAAGCACCAGAGTCCTGGGACAACCAAAAACGGCACCCAGGACCAGCAGTGAAAGGATATGGTGGGGTAGAAGTTGTGAAACAAGAGCGGTTTCCCCTGCAGAGGGTTGGGGGGGCTACCCGAGACCCTGGGGCTGCCCACCTCTCTAGGCCCGGGCTCTCACCATCTGCCTCCCTCGAGCCACAGCAGCATGCACGTTTTTGAGGGAGCCATCATTTTCCTCAAACACTTCAGCTGACCAAATGGCACAGTTGACGTGTGTCCACTCATTCTGCCCAATGTATAGGAGCCGTCCTGCCTCCTGGGGGCAGAGGAGAAATGGTGTGAGGGCAGGCCCCAGGGACTAGGCCCCACAGCCTGGAGCTTCACATGGTAGCCCTCACCTTAGAATCCGCATCCCCATATTTGAGGCAGAGCGCACACTGACGAGGGTCCTCCAGGTGTGAGAAAGCAGCTGGATCCTTGCCCTGAAAAGCTGGAAGAGGTGTGGGAAGGCAAGTCCCAGAATCAGGACCTAGAGCTTGCCCCACCAACTCAGGGGCCCTGGCTTCCAGTCCCCACTTCCCAGTACCTGCTGAGGGGTCCCCTGGAGGCTGCCCTGATTCTGGGGTCTCTGGTTCCTGCTGCCTCCACTGAGCGTAGACATGGTCCAAGGATGGGGGCAACACGGCATTGGGAAGAACTCCGCTGTGGACAGGCAGGGTCAGCATCTGACACGTCTAACAAGGGTGGCCACCCACAATCTTAGCCTTAACATGCCATGACACACTTGGTCCTCTCTCCATGTGGCATTTCTCCCAGTCTCCCAAATAAGCCAGGGCCCCTCATGCCACCTATGACACATGAAATGCCGCTCCTCAGGGGATGCCTGGAATACTTTTTCCACATCTTGGCTCGGATGTCATCTCTTCCGAGAAGCCTTAACCCTAAGCACCTTCTCTGGGCTCCCACAGCTCCCTTGACGTTCCCATAACCACCCTGACCATCTGGATCATCAGGCACTAATGTGCCTCCTCAAGCCCCCAAACATGGCTTACTCACTGCTATTCCCCAACACTACCTTGCACAAAGTAGAAACGAGGTGAGCTAACTGCACAATCTTGAGTCTTTGCTGGCCTAGAACCCCTGAGGATGCTCATCCTGGTTCCACCACCCTCCAGACCCTAACTCTGTTCCTTGTCTATTCTCAGCCCAGGATCCAGACCCTGGATTTCCCAGGTGCCCTTGCTTTTGCCCTTATTCCCTGGTTCCCCTCCTGTTACCCAGCCCTGCTCACTTTGGCAGCCGGGTACTCCGTCGCCAGTACTTGGGGTCGTGGGCGTCGAACCAGCCGAACGCAGACTCTAACAGCTGGGGAGTGGGTTAACAGAATGAGAAGAACTGGCTTCCCCCAGGAAAAGCTGGTAGGGGCAGCATCTGAAAGACCCACACTCTCCTCCCCACTACCACTCAAGCCACTCCACAGACATCCCCCAAAGTTCCCACCTTCAGTAGGAGCCCCTTCATCTGGCCTCCAGCCCGGCGCTCTGGGGTCTCTCCTTCTTCTGAGTGCTTCATCAGGATGCCCACCATGTCCTCCATAAAGCTGTGCTGTAAGGGGGCTTGTCAGGATCAGAGCCCCCACCCCCCCCACAACCCCCTCCTCCTGGAGCCCACCTATTCCTCTCAGTGTCCCACTCACCACAGACTTGTAGTGGCCTTCCTCGAAGCGCCGACTCACGGCTTGCAGATCGCAAGGGCCTGGGTGCAGCTGCTTTCCGGCCTGCCCACACTGGAGAGAGAGAAAGTCAGCAGGGCTGGTGCTGGGCCTGGCCCCACCCCACCCTATCTCCCGAGCAACCCCCCGGCCCCAGACCTGAGTGCACAGCAGCAGTGGGCCGGCCACCTTGGAGCTCAGCAGGCCCTGGAGCACCTGGCGCAGGCCCCCCTGCAGGGCCCCACTCAGGGCCTCTCGCCAGCGGGGGTGCGTGGCCCCCGCGCACGGTCCGCAGGTGTACAGCACTGAGTCCGGCAGCCCAGAAAGGATTTCATAGTCTTCATCTAAAACACCGGGGTGGGACAGGACAGAGTGGTTCGGGAGGACGTGAGGGCTCTCAGCAGCCCAGAGGAACTGCCAGGGACGCACACTGATGACACCTGTCCCAGGAGAGCCTGTGCCCGGGGCAGGACAGGCACCCCGTGCCCCCGCCCTCGGGGCAGAGGCGGCAGCCCGGCCCGCTCTGCCTGCTCACCTGAGAGCCCCTCGCACTTGGCGTGCACCCAGTGGTCACACTGCGCGCACTGCATCATCTTGCTCTCGTAGTCGTTGTCCTCGTAGCAGCGCGTGCAGATGGGGCAGAAGTTTCCTGCACAAAAGGGAGGAGAGGGGCAAGTCAGGGGCTGGGGCCACGACCTGCCCCTTGGCTGCTGCGAGGGCTGCCTCTGCTATGCCCCGTCTCGGGTCCCTACCACCCTTGAAACGCTGGCTGAGAACACGGCCTCTTCTAGCCCTACGGCCCCAGCGCCGCCCAAAGAACCTTGCGAACTTGCCGCCTGAACAAACGGGGAATCCCAGGTTTTCAAAGTGACCCGTGGAGACTCGAGGTGCCCAGAGGCAGGTGAGGGACCACTGCCACGACGGGGTGCAGGCCGGCTCCCGCTGCCCTGGGGGGAACCGCGTCCCTCTCCCTGAGGCACTAGAGAGGCTTCTGCGGGAGACTACCCTGACCAAAGGAAAGGCTCCGGGGCTACGAGAGGGCACAGAGAGCCGCCAGAAAACCGTGTCTGTCTTGCCTGTCTACGAGCCTGGCCCACCGCCCAGTGTCCCTCAGGGTCCAGGTTCCCGGACAGGTCCCCACCTTTCTCATAGAGCTGGGTGCACCTGGGGCAGAGGCTGTAATCTCCGGACCACTCGACGTCCCAGTTCTTGCCTGGGGTTGCCCCACAGCTCTTACAGCGTACGCAGGCTGAGCAGATCTGGGGGGGGGGCAGGGTGAAGTTAGGGGGAGCAGGCTGGAGCAGTGGGGGGTACAGTGGGAGGAGATGGGCAAAGAGGAGTGGATGGTAAGCGAGAGACAAACGAGGAAGGACAAGTAAGAGGAGAAAAGGTGCAGGAGAGAGGTGGGGGGGGCAAGACCAAAGTAGGGGAGACCGACAGAGGGAGATGAGGAGAGGAGGTCAGGAAGGGGCCGCGGATTCTGAGCCCAGGACCAGAGAATGCATGAACCCTTCTGCGTTTTGCAACCACTCTGTACAAATTCTGCACATAAGTCTCATCTATGGGAAGTTTTGAAAGAGAAAATGCTATTTATCAGATAAACTCTCACAAGGACCTCCAACCTTCCAGCCTGGGGGTGGTAGCGGCTTTAATTAGAACTCCAATGCAAGGGGTGTGGGCCTCATCTCTCACCCAGTGGCGCCGTTTGCGTGTGGCCCGGGTTGGGTAGCTGGGACCCAGGCAGGCTGGGTGATAAGCATGGCGGCAGCGCTCACACTCCAAGAGGTGCTGTTGGAAGTTGGGAGAAAAACAGCAATGGCAAAACCTATTGGCACAAGCATACCCCTCTCCTCCGTGCCTCCACCCACTCTCACGGCTCCTGTGCCCGAACCTTGGATCCCCGGCCTTTGCGCCCACAGACATGGCAAAACTTGCAGCGGCGGCAGCACCAGGTGTCATGATGTTGGGGCAGGGGCCGCTCGGCCTCCTCCAGACAGAATGGATGGAAAGGGTCACAGCAGACTTGGCAGAACACCAGCTGGGGGTGGGGAGAGTGAACAATGGGCACAGTGTGAGGCCAAGAGGCCAAGGGATGAGACCCTGCTGAGAGGGCCCAAGCAATCAGGCAGTAAGGGCCAATGGAGACCTGGGGGGCTGCGGAAAAAGGCGGGGATCCAACCTCATGCAGGCCTTTGCTGGCACACAGCAAGCACACCATCGGCGGGCCCCCTGGCACGGAGGTGAGCACGCTGAGGCCACCCATTAGCCACACGTTCTCCAGGTCACAATCCTCCTGAGGAAAGAGAGGACACGGGATCAGAGAGCAGCCAAAGCCATCTTTAAAGCCCTGGTTTCTCAGCTACAACCAACAGGTTTCTTTCAAACACCGTCCTCGAGACCCTCTCCCTCAATGCCATACCTTAAAATCCACACGGACCCGGTGCACTCCATCAGGGGACTTCTGTTTTCCAGTCCAGCCATTGGGAAAAGAAGCAAAGGGGCCAGGGGCCAAAGCATCCTAGGGAGGATGGTGGTGGTCAGAAGGCAGCCGGCCTCGCCCTCTGCAGACTTCTCTGCACACTGTTCTCTTCCCCGGCCTGCCCAACCCTGTCTTTTGCCCAGATCCTACTTTGCTTTCCAGAAGGACAGACCTGCCTTACCCCTCAGGGCCTGTCCTCTGCTGTGGACACAACACGGCACTCAGGTGAGCCCGTTACCCTGACTTGCTAGGAAGCTCCTGAAGGGCAGGAGCCATGCCTTCCACAGGGCTCAGGGTTCTTGGTGTGGGGCTGTGCTGACCTTGTCCAGGCGCCTTCGGGCCTTGAGCTGCAACACAGGCTGCAGGGTGGGTTTGCGGGGCCGGCTCTGCTCCTCGGGTTCTGGCACCGGTAGCTCTAGGCAGCACACAGAAGTGGTGAGGGTCCCCCTCCTTCCCTGCCCCATTCCCTTTCCTCCACACCCCCCGTTACCTGGATCCCCATGGCCGCCTTTAACTAACCAGTAGGATGACTTTTAGGCCTGGCTCGAACGCACCCATTTTCCCTGTCCACCCCAAACTACCTCTTCCTCTGCACTCAGCTACTTTCTCTATCACACAAATACAGCCCCTGGCCTGGAAACCCCACCCCCCTTCTACACAAGACACAGGACTGAAAGGGGAAACGACGAGCAATTCGCACCATTCTCTCGGGGGGTCCGACGCCGGGGAGCAGGGGGACCCCCGGGCTCTGAGTCATCCGAGTCCTCGAAGATATCATAGGAGGGTCGCTGTTTGACGCAGCGCCGGGCTGACTTGCGCTGCAGTAGGAGGGAGTCCTGCTCCTCGGGCCCTGGGGGGGCCACCACCTCCTCCCGGGGCCCCCCAGCTCCCGCCCCCCGGCGTGGGCCTGGAGGACCAGGGGAGGCCTCAGGAGATTCATCGGAATCCCAGGGCAACAGCGTCTTCACTATCGTCCGGCCTGTGGGAACAGGGGACTTAGTAGGATCTGAGCTCCGCCAGGGACATGGGACACTGGGATACAGAAAAGCCAAAAAGAAGGGGGGCAAAAGAGAACGAGTACAGGAGAGACACGGAAGCACAGGACGGAGAGAGGACAAAGGTACAGACTGCAAAGATAAGGGAAGGAGAGCAAAGAAAACACTGTTTCTTCCACACCACGGATCTAAATAAGGTTGTGTAAAGAAAGACTCCTCAAACCTCGTTACCTTTTTTAGCCAGCCGTTCCATCTTCCGAGCCTCTATCTTGTCGCACTTCCGGTATCTGGGGAGGGGAGCAGCACGTCACCAGGGTAGGGGACTGGTGGTCTGGGGGAAGAGAGGAAGCTCTCCACAAGGATGCCAATCCCACTGCTCTGGCGGGGCAGGAGGCCTGGGTGACTTGACAACCACGGGTGGCAACAAGAGGCTGCGCCCTGGCTACTCACACACAGCACTGCTTCTTGGTGTTGGGGCCCCCAAACTTGGGCTTGTCCAGGCAGTTGACACAGGACCCACAGTCCTGCACACGCAGGCAGCCCCGACAGTGTCCACACCGTGCCATCCGCATCTTCTTGCCATGATGGGAGGGCAGCGAGCGCCGGGGTGTATGGGCCAGGGTCCCTCCAGACCCTGCAGGCTCTGAGTCTCCCCCAGGCCCTGCTGACTCCACCTTTCCCCGCCGAGACCGTGATGGGACGCTCTCAGTCTCAGACGCCGATGATGTATCTAGTGCAATGGGGAGGAAAGGATGGAGCCACAAGGCCATTAGGCCTTTTACCTCAGTTCCCTGTTCTCCCCTAGATCTCATTCAATTGGCCTTCTGGCCCTCCCTTTCCCACGGTGTGCAGGCCCCAGGTGCCCCCAAATCTGCTCTAAGACCTAGCACCCCAACCCACCTGCCACCTGCCCCAAGCATCCAACTCAGCTCCCTCTCTCCTCGGCTCTTGGTGCATGTGCTCGCCCCCGAACTTGACACAGCTGTCAAATCTTCCCACAACACACCCGCCCCTACCCTCCGTGGCGAGGTCCTGCCGATCCCGGAGAGGGAGAGCACTGAGGCGGGGGACGTCTTCGGGCACCATGGCCCGGGCCTGACCTAGGGCCACAGCAGCATGACGACAGACATGTTTGATACGGGGGCCTTGCACAGGGGACTCGGGGCCCTAGGGGAGGAGAAACCAGGAATACGTGTGGGAAGTTGCCCCCTGCGCTCCTGCAACCAGCCTTCTTCAGAGGGCCCTGCTCCCACTCCATACCGACGGTCTCTCTCTCTTAGTTTCCATCGATTCATCTTCAGGCCTGACAGAACCTCTATCTGAGATCTGTTTGACAGTCCCCACGACTTCCTCCATCTGCCCTCCAGGGCTTGGCTGGTAGGGGAATAAACAGGGTCAGAGGCTGGAGAGTGAGGAAAGATAGGGCCGGGGGGACTAGCATGGGGGGAGGGCCAGGGCCAGGGCCAGGGCAGGGACACAGGCAGCTGAGAAACGGAAGGACGGGCTCTAAGGGTTCCCTGAAATACTGGAGGGAGTCTGAGGAGGCAGGGGGCGAATGAAAATTGAGAGAATGGAGAGAATTGGGGCCGGATGGCTGGGTGCAGAAACCTAGCCCAAGCGCCATGCTCACCGGCATCAAAGACGCCACCTTCTGCTGCTGCTGCTGCTGATCGATCTTGAACAGCTGCACCTTGGCTCTCTTGAGGAGGCTGAACATTTTCTCCTCCACACCAGACAGCGGTAAGGAGCCCGAGGCCGCGGTTCGGGCCTTGTCCAGGGGCGACGGCGGCTGCAGGTGCAAGTGCGGCTGTACCTGCGGCGGCTGTGCTAACGCCTGGGGCAGCAGCTGGGTTGGCAAGGCCTGTAGGGGCTGCTGCAGCTGAGCCTGACACTGCTGCCCGTTGCTCAGAGCTGGAGCCCCGGGAAGGGGCGCCTCGGCCTTGACAGGAGTGGCGACCACGGGGGCAAATCGAGGCAGGCTGAGGTGGTTGGTGCGGCCCGCTGCCCGTGGCTCAGGCTCAGCTGGAGAGTCATCGGCGGGAGGAGGCTCTGGCTCAGGGGCTTCAGGGGCCCCAAGAGGAGTAGTAAGCACCGATTCGTAGATCTTCAGGTGGGCTTCGCTTGGGGTAAACTGGGGTGCCCGAAGGAGCAGGGGCCTCCGGGATGGAGTGACAGGGGCAGGAGGTGGGGGCGGGGCCGGTGGGGGGGCAGGAGGAGGAGGGGGCAGTTCCCGGGTCAGCGAGGTCCAGCGAAACGTGGGTTCCCTCAGAATGGACCGTCTCTTCTCAGGGAGTGGGACTGGGGTAGACGGGGGAGTTGGGGGAGGGGGGGGGGGGGGGGGGGGGGGGGGTTGGGGGGGGGGGGGTGGGGAGGTGGCAACAGGAAGCCGCAGAGTAGGTGAGACTTCTACCTTTAGGGGTTTGGGGGGGTCTTCATCCATAAATCGCCGGGGTGTCTTGATGACTCGGGAGGAGCGGGCACTCACCACAGGCATAATAAACTGCCGGATATTCTTCAGGAAGGTGGTACTTTTGGGGGCCACAGTGGGGCTGTCTTCCAGAGGGCCTCCTGTGATGGTGCTGGGGGTTGGAGTGGGGGGAGAGGTACCCTCCGGCACTGCCCGAGCAGCTTCTCGCTCTGCCCGCTGGCTGGGAGTCAGGGGAGGCCGGCCCCTCTTCCTGGAGCATGTAGCTGGGACCACTGGAGGAGGGGATTCTTCCTGCTCCTCTGGGGCAGGAGGCGGTGGAGGCGATGGTGGGGGCAGAGGGGACACTGGGGGTGGTGGAGGGCAAAGTGGGGATGAAGGAGAAGTGGAGGGGGGTGGGAGGGGTGGAGGGGGTGGAGGAGGTGGAGATGGTGGAGGAGGTGGAGGGGGTGGAGGGGCGGCAGGGGCTGCAGGGGCTGGCGGAGTGGAGGGTGGGGATGGCAGCTTTGCGTCTTCCTTTTCCTCTGCTAGCATCACCCCTTCTGCAGGTCCGGCTCTCTCTACCGTCTCTTCTCGCTCTTCCTTGTCCTTCTCTTCTTCTGTCTCCTTCTCTCCCTCCTCCTCCAGCTTTTGCTCCTTTCTCCAGCAAGGGCCCTCTCCCTGTCCAGATCCAACTCTTCCTTGGGGGGCACCCTGCCAGCTTTCCTCATGTTGATCTTGACCCTGACCTGATTCAAGTCCCAAGGACAACTGTCCCATCTTCACTTTTTTGGCCTTTGAAACAAACTTGATCACAAGAGGGAGCCCGCCTCGGCCTCGGCCTCTACCTCCACGGCCTCCTCGCCCAGACTGTCCTCCACGCTTGGGGGTCCCAGGTCCTGGGCCAGGCCCCTCCTTGCACTTCCAGCTGCCAGTTCGATGTTTTACAGGAACCACAGGAGGTGGGGGCTCAGGTTTGGGGATTGTCACAGCTGCTTCTGCCACCACTACCGCTTGTTGCTTCTTCCTGCAGGGGCCTGCTGGCCGTCCTGGGGGCCGTCCCCGAGACCGACGTGGAGTGGAGGGCTCACATGCCCGGCTCCGCGGGGCTGGGGGTGCCTGGGCCCGGCGAAGAAGTTCAGTCAGTGCCTGCACCATCCGTTCTGTGCCCTCCTCACCCCGTTTCCGGGCAGGAGTCTTTGGGGGGGTAGGAGCGACATCTGCTAGGCGAGGAGGCGGAATGGGGGTCATCTTATGCTTGCGGCCCCGACCTCGGGGGGCTCGACCTAAAAGGAGAATAGGCGTGGGGAGATGGGTCAAGCTAGCCCTGCAGACTGAACAAGGCACTCCAGGAGGGCAAGGACTAAGTTTTACTTGTCTGTATCCCCCGCAGCCCAGGCTAGCTTGAGCTTTTAACACAGAACACGCTATGTAACTGATGGAGACTCTACTTAAACAGGGAAGAGCTGACATGAAGAGCAAGAATAACATTCCTGTAAAGCTATAGAGGTAGAGTTTCCCCGTCACTCACCTCGCTGGGATCGGAGCGCAGAGCGCAGGGAACTGGGGGCCACATCTTCATCTGAATGAAAACCCTGAAACTCCTGATTTAGGGGACCAGGGGTGGAGGGGAGAAACAGCAGTCAGTGCCAAAGCCCTTGTTCCACCTGAGACTCAGGTATGGAGGTATATCCCCCCAGTTTCCCCCTTAACATACCCCTACTTTAGAGAAAAACTTATGACTGGAAGCTAAGAAGAGTAGAAAAGAGTCTCTCCCTCTCATCCTAGGGATGGAGGCACAGGGTATTTTGAACCCCCATCCCCTGTAGCAGACTACACCAGCACAGCCATCAGTGGTTCGCTGGCCCAGAAGGGAACAGAACTGGGTCTTCTCAGGCCAGGCAGTAGACACTACCCTCAGACTCCATCATCCTCCAATTCAGAAAAAGGTGGAACTACTGTTTACACGTTCTCAGAATGAAGTTTCCTCCTGAATGAAGATGGGAATAGGGGCACTCAAGTCCGGGGTATGTGCGCGCGCGCGTGTGTGTGTGTGTGTGTTTGTGTGTGTGCGTGTGTGTGTGTGTGTGTGTGTGTGTGTGTTTCAAATGGTTTACCGTAATAAGCTCTACTCTGAGCCCTCAGGTGACTACAAACTGTCCTAAATAATACAACCCACACTCTCCTGACTTTTCTGAGAGGCTGGGGATAAATCCTGAGCTGTACTCGGACCTGCTAGAGTTCCCAGCCTCAGCCTTTATTCCATTTTTCTTCAACCTGTGCCCCCAAGAAGAAGCCCTCCATCATGCTACCATCTCTCCACTTTAAGTAAGTGGAATCTGGGTACTAGTGAAACCAGTGATGTGTCAAGAGATTATGAGGCCAGGTGGAGCAGCCTACAGATAAGTGCCCAGAGAGCCCTAGCCTGGGTCCACTAAAGCCACGCTGCTGCTGTCAACCACCACTGGTCGGGCATGCAGTACCCATAGCCTTCTCGCTCAAACCTCTACCCCAACAGCTTTGCCAACTACCAAAATCATCAGCCTGGGACACTTCTGCAGGACGTGCCTCAGGCCCAAGTACCCAGCTGCAGCCTGGGCTTCTCTATATACTTTCAGAGGCCTTTTTCACGGACAGCTCCGCGCAGCCTATCTCCCCCCAGGCTTATTTCCAGGGCCCCTTCCCTCCGCAGGGGCCCTGAGAACCTCGCTTCTCCACTCCACCCCTCAGGGCCACCCAGACCCTTGGAAGCCCCCAGCCTCCGCCCCGCCCGGCGTTGGGGACGCCTCCGACTGCCTCACCTCATCGTCGGATTCCTCGTCACTGCTCTCCTCCTCCGGCACGCAGCCTCGGCTCAGGCCCCAGCCCCGGCCCCGGCCCCGGCCCCGACCCCGCTGAATGCGCGGGCCGGCCCACAGGCGGCGGAGCCGGCGCAGGCCCCGGCGGAGCCCCAGCAAACGGAGCAGGGCCGTGTCCTCCCCGGGCTCGGCTCCGCCCGGCCCCGCCGCGCTGCCGCCGCGCCGCAGAGCTACCCGCACTCTCTCGGCCCCGCTGCCCCGTCCGCCGCGGCCCCCGCCCCCGCCGGAGCCCCGCGGCCGGCCCGGGAAGCGGCCCCGCGCGGAGCCAGGCCCGGGGCAACTGCCGCCGCCCGCCGCCGCCGCCATCTTGGCACCGTGAGAGGGGCCGGGGAGGCGGGGGGAGGGGCGGCCCGTGCGCAGGGCCGGGGGGGAGGGGAGGGAGAGGTGGGGCGGGGCGGCTGCGGCTCACGACAGCAACCAGCGCCGCAGCGGGGCTAGCGGGAGCCGGGGGCTGGGCCGGCCACGCGCGGGGCACCACGGGAGCGGGAGTCCGAGGCCAGTCGGCAGTCACCCTTAGACCGCGCCTGAAGAGCACAGACCCCGTGTTGCGGCCGAAGAGGGGTGACGCGCAGGAACCTTCGGGAAATGTAGTCCAGGCGCCTCGCTCCTTCCGCCGGGAGCTGGGGCCGCGAGAGCTGGGACTATAGGGTCCTAGCCGGACCCAGAAAACCATCTCCGGGGCCGCCGGGAGGTGTGGTTCTCGCCCCAAACTCCTCCCATTGTTCTTGGCGAGGCCGGGGCACGCATGAACTACCACTCCCAGGGTGCAGTGGGCTTTGGACCCTGGGAATCCTAGAGACACTGGGAATCCTAGAGACACTGGGAAATGAAGTTCGCGATTGCAGGAGGCGTGGGGTGGGAAAGGGGCCGCCGCAAAGGATTAGTTTCAGTTGGAGGCGCCACTCGGCTGCCGTTCTGCAGAGCATGGAGGGAAGATGCTCGAGAGGCCGCAGCTTTGCGGTCCTTCTGCTCAAGGAGAGGAGGGTGGAGCACGCGTTCCTCGAGCCCCGGGCTGGGGGTCCCAGACTCAGATTCTGCGCACCGTTGCTTGCTGTGGAAGGGGCGGATAACTTGGTTTCTCACAGCCTCCGCCAACAGGGCTTACTGCTAAGTCAGCCTGGACTTCGCGGCCCTCGCGGGCCCCTACCTAGGGGGGAAGAACAGGGAGACCCGGGAGCTGGAGGTGGCCCCCGCACTGAACAGTGGATGCACAGCCACGAGGGGCCGCCACAGGACAAGGGGCAAGACTGCCTTTCCCTCTCCCCTGCTCACAGACTAAAATCTGGACTCGGCTTCTGGTCCTGAGAGGGCACAGGAAACTCTTTATTTTGATGGAATCGCCAGTTCCCGCACAATTAATTTTAACTCGTGCAAACTTCACTGCCCACACCCCACACGGGCTCGCTGGCCCAGACTTCTGGGGCCCGGGGCCATCTGGGAGAAGGCTTTCAGCGCCTTTCCTGCGGTGCTTCTTGGAGCCGAATTTGCTAGGCTGCCAATAGCTGCGGTGCTGGATCAGAAACCTAGCCAGCCCCGTCGGCCCGTCTTTCATTCTTTAATTGTATTGTTGGCTGAAGCCAAAGAAGCTACCAACACCGTCAGGTGGTGGAGGAAGGGGACCCACAGGGAGAGGTCGAGGCCCGGGACGGCCTCGAAGAGGAGGAGTAGAGGAAGGTAGAGCGAATGGTCCATCCAGGTGGGAGCTGGCTGGGCGAGTGGCCGCGCATGTGCGCCTGCATGGAGGCCAGGCTGGGGCAGCCGGCCCGGCACAGAGGGCAGCGGTAGGGTGCGGCCCCATGCGTCCGCAGGTGCTTGGTCATGGCTGAGAAGTCCCGGGAGCGCTGGGGGCAGAGGCTACAGGAGAAAGGCTTCTCTCCTAGGGCAGGTGGAGGGGGAGGCCGGTAAAGGAAAGAAGGGGGTGAAGGCTGGCGTAGGGGTTGATCTGGGCGACTGGGCAAGGGAATTGTGTGGGAGCCAAGCACACAGAGAAGGACTCAGGAGCAGACAGACCGGAGTTTGGAAGGGAGCAGATAATATTTGCACTGGGCGGGGAGCCCATACCTGTGTGGACTCGGTAGTGAGTCTCCATCTGATGCTTGAGTGAGAACCTTTTTCCACAGACAGAACAAGAATAGGGCCGAGACCGACCAGGTGGGGGTGGGGGAGGTTGTTGGTGGGATGGGCCTGCTGTACTCACATGACCCACACAGGTTGCAAGTACACCTGTGGGGACAGAGAAGGCAGAGGAGGGCAGGGCTGGGAATCCCAGAGCTGGACCACTGGTACTCCCAGACAAGACATCGGGAGCTACAGTGGGGCTGAGGCAAACGTGCCCTCACCCTACTCACCTGTGTGCCTCTGATCAGACTCTTCCATCTCCCCAGGGCTGAACTTTGTGGGGCCCTGGGGGAGGGAACCTGGAGGGAGCAGAGTGAAGGAGGTGCCCTACTCAGGCTGGACTCCTGGAGTCCCAGCCTAAGGAAAGAGAGACCATGTTATAGCATTTGTACAGGGAGGGCACTGAGGGGCTTACCTGGGGCAGGACTGGAGTTGGCCAACTGGTTCTGGTTCCGGAGACCTTTCTCAGGGTTCAGGGACAGTGGGATCCTGGGGATGGGGTGGGGAAGAGTTAGCCTTGGCAAAACCTGGGATCCTGGCCAGACCCTTCCTGGAGAGGGAGGTGTCATGAGTCCTCCTCAGAGGCTGGGCTTTGAATTCCCTGTGATGGAAGCTTCTTGTCCTACCATCAGCTCCGGAAATGTACAGCAGAGATAAGAGACATGGTGCTCTTCTACCCATCCCTGTTGCCTCTCCTGAGCCACTCCCTCCCAGCCCGGGAGGTCTTCCCTTAGGCTCCTCACTCACCTCTGGTCCCGAGGCCAGACCTCCTGCCAGGCTCCAGTGATGGGGGTGCTATGGGAGAAGGGAGTGCCATATCTGGGTGGCAACAGCAGGATGCTCCACAGGGCAGGCTGGCCCTCCCCCAACCAAGGGGCCTCAGGCCACCAGGGCCTAGGAATGACGCTTGTTTGGAGGGAACTTGGTGGGGGAAGGTGGCCAGAGAACTCCCGCAGACTTTCCTCAGAGCCCCCTGGACTCTCCGTCACCCACATAATCACTTCTTGCTTCCCATCTGTTCCCCCATAGCCAGTAGGGGATTGCTTGAGTTTTTCCTTTGATCTCATCTGCTCCCCTGCACCCTCCTGCCTTGCCTCTGCTATCTCAGGGCTCTCTCTTGAAGGCCTTTGCTCATGCAGTATCTCTCGTTCTCTCCAACCAGCTCTAATAAATTTCTCTGGTCTCTGCTCTCCATGTCCCTCCAGTCCTCTCTCAGAATCCCTTGTGAGTTTCTCTGGCTCCTCCTGATGTTCCTTGAGCCCTGGACCCCGTTCTCTAGCCCTGTCCTGTCGAGCCCTCCTGCATGCCTCTTCCAGGGACTGCACCCCCAAGGTTCTGGCCGCTTCCTCAAGGGGTCCCAGTTCCCCAGGCTGCAGTTCTACACTCTCTCCATAAACAAAGTACAGAAGCTGGGCAAAGGTAGAAGGGCTGATGCCTTTCACCAGAGCCCAGCGGCCCCTGCGGCCCAGCTGCTGGCTCACACCTGCCAGGACCAGGCTGTGCGCAGGGAATTCTTGGCTTCCCACAGTGATCAAGGTATCACATAGTGCTGGCCGGAGCCTGGCTGCTAGCCGTACCAGCCGATCAGAGCCATAGGGGCTAGGCAGTCTTGTCGTCGGGAACAGGGGCATTGTGCTTTGCCTGGGTACCAATCTCAGAGGACCTGGAAGAAAGGCCACGGTGTGGGGTCCATGGTGGAAAGGGGAGGGAGGAACAGCGTATTCTCAAGCCTGTGGAGGTGAGGGGAGAAAGAGTGAGTTGCTGGTTCAGAGCTCTCTGTGCCCTGAATGGAACAAATAAACTAACCCAAGAGAGGACCCGAGCTTATCCAGAATCATAATGGACCAGGGGGTAGGGGTGAGGGTGGGGATGGCAGGAGAATGGAAATTAGACCATATTCAGGACTTAAAGAATAAGAACCAGACCATTAACAACCATATCAAAGAGTGGGTTTAAGGCTAGTATAGATGGGTCCTGCCAATTGGCAGTCTCTGACTTAAAAGAGAGCAGACACTGATACTTCTGCTACTCTAAGCCCTTCTGCAGGGAAAGACCTTGGAGCAGGCCAGGCTTTCTTCTGTCCAGACAAAGAGATCACCATAAGACCCAGTCAGCCCTGGCAGTTAGGGATGGAGCAAGACACAGCTTCATGGGAGAGTTTTGAAAGCTAGTTTCACCCCCACCCCATCACATTTTGCTGAGTAGTCTTGAGAGGCAGAAAGGACAGTAAGACTGAGGTCACAGCTGCAGGAGGGCATGCCCTAAGGCATAAATCGATTATCTCCCTACGGCTGAAACTTCTAGAACATGTCCTCAGAGAAGGACCTGGAAGAGAATCCCATCCAGTGGGTTGAGAGAGCAGGTGCAGAAGCCACAGAAGAGAAGGTTCCCATCAAGGATGGAGAGAGATTTTGAAGAAAGTTTTGACCCCTGAGGAAGTGGGAGAAAGGAAAATGGGAACTATATATATAGGGAGAGGCTATTTTCTTTCCAGATTAGGATAAGGAGATGGTTTAATTTTGTTTTTCATAAGCCAAAAGCGAAGAATAGAAAGAGCCAACAAGGCAGAAATTTATCGCACATCAAAACTACCACACTGACTTTTAAGAAGAAAGCTGGGAACCCAGATGCTAAGAGACAGACCTAAGTGTCTCAGTGCCCAGTAGGCATATTCCTCAGTGTGGGCTCACCATGAGTAAGGACCCTTGTGGGGAGGATTACTACTTGGACCCCTCAGGGAGAAGGCTACAAGTTGGTAGGAAGTGGACAGAAGAAGGGGTGTAATGGGAGGAAAGTCTCAGCTGGGGAGAAGCAACCACTCACCGGTTGTAGCTTCCTCCTGGACACCGCATGCTCTGAACTGCTGTTGGGGCGCCTGGGGCCCCCCTGGAGCTAGCCCCGCCCCTGACCTCACAGTCTTCCATTGGGTGTCCCAAGTATCAGTCTGCCACAGTCCCCCAAGGGGGTGTGGTTTTATACCCCTGGCTCTGCTTCACCCCTCTAGGAGAGACCACCTCATCTACTTCCAGATTCAAGATATTCTGCCTCCCTTCCTGTCTCATTTCATTTGTGAACTTCTAGAGTCAAAGAAATTCATGTGAGGGGGTGCCTGGCTGGCTCTGTTTGTAGAGCATGCAACTCTTGATCTTGGGCTTGTAGGTTCGAGCCCCATGCTGGGTGTAGAGATTACTTTAAAAGAATAAAATAAAAATCAAGGAACGCCTGGGTGGCTCAGTTAGTTAAGCGTCTGCCTTCGGCTCAGGTTGTGATCTCGGGGTCCTGGGATTGAGCCCTGCGATGCATCAGGCTCCGTGCTCAGCCAGGAATCTGCGTTTCCCTCTCCCTCTGCCCCCCCCCCCACTCATGCGCTCTCTCGTGCACTCTCTCTGCTGTCTCTCAAATAAATAAATAAAAATCTTAAAAAAAAAAGTTCATCTCGCAACAAGAACCTTGGAATAATCAGACCTGCGTTTAGAGTCTCATCTCTGCCATTTACTAGTTGAGCCACATTGGGCAAGTCATCTTTCTGAGCCTCAGTTACCTCATCCATGAAATAGGGATAACCTTTGCTTACCTCATTTGGAGGTAAGGGTGAAGATGAAATGACATGATGAATGTGAAAGTGGTTTGTCAGTATATAGCATCATTCAAATAAGATTAGTTCTTTTGAGAAGTGTCGGAGCTCTAGAAGCTGGAAGCTGTTTCTACTACCTCGGAAGTAAAAAGGACTGACACATCTGGATTCTGAGGAGAGAGTGAAGGAGAGCCAAAAGCATGCCTTGTCCTTCTTCTCCCTGACTTAGTACTAGGAAGCCTTAACTGCTCTGTGGAAACGACCCCTGTCATCCGGGCCACCACTGGGGACTGAATGTACAAGTGACTCAGATTCTCCCATCAAGCTCTGAAGGGGGCAACCCCAGAAAGGGCCTGCGGTGGTCTTCGAAGAGAAAACTCCCTTTTCTTGGGTTGATGACAAATGATATTTCTCTGAAATCAGAACTCCGGGGTTTCTTTCACTTCCTGTCAAAAGGGTCGAACTCTCAGGAGATTTCCCCTGTTTTCACACTTTAGCACTTGTTAACCTGGGAAAGGATGAGGTCTGAGAGACTCAAATTTCTTTTCCTGTTTTTTATTATTCCATTAACCTTCGTCCTGTGGCAGTTTTTTTATTCATTCAACAAGCGTAGAGAAATCATTTATGATATGTGCCTGGTATATCATATATGCCCCATAAATAACTGGAAGATAAAAAAATCAGGCATTGGTAGGCTGTTCTGGTGACCTGACACAGTCTGGTTCACCCTAGGCTTGTCCTTTAGGTCCTGGCCCCTCTTAGACCCAAATATTATGTCCCTAAACTCCCGTTTCTCCCTTTGGCTCCAGGACCCCAAAATGTTCAGACAGCCCCCTACTTTCTCCCTCCAGACTTAATATGCCTTCCCCCTCTACCTCTCTCGTTCTAGCTTGAGTATAGACAGATGTTAACCCTTCCTAGATCAGGCAGGGTGTGCCAATGGGTGGGGCTGGTGGAGGGGCAATAATAGGGTGGGGAGAGGGGAAGATGACTCAGAGTGAAAGGGAAAATGCAAATGGACAGGCCTTATTCGTGTGCTACTCTGAACGTTAAATATTTTCCATTTCTGAGCTTTCTGACTCCTCATACCACCACACCCAGGGACTCATTAGACACCCACATAAAAAGCACTTGGCCTGGACATATAAAAGCACCAATCCTGGATATGTATGTATACAGAGAAAAACATCCTTTCTTCAACACAGTAATACAGTCCCTGAAGATATGGAATAAGTGGGGAAAATCATGAGAGAGAAACCCCAAGTGTAGAAGAAAAGGTACAGGGGTCTGGAAGATTACATCATCACCCAGTGGCCTTGCTTCCCAGCCCTACGTCATGTGCCTGTGACTCAGCTCCCCCACTGGTATGATTTTGCTCATTGATGATCGAAAATATTGGCGACTATGCTCAAAGGGCAGTGTCCTCTATAAGCCAAGTATAGTTGACAGGGAGTGTCAGCAGGCTTTCAGGAAACTTAATAGGGAGGAGAAGGGCAAGGGGACTCCCCATTCAGTGAACAAAAGCCCCCCAAGAGTGGGAAACCCCATTTTGCCTCCTACTTGGTAGCTACCCCACCTGAGGATATCCTTTGAGAGACTGCCTCCTTAGAGGTATCTCCAGGGTCCTCTACACCTCAGCCCTGAGGCTGGTGATACTCTAGGCCCTTTTCTCTCCGTACATTCTTGACTACACAGCCCAAGCCATCCTGCACTGAGCAGTGACAGCAGAAGCACAAGCAAATAGCACTTTGACTTGGAAGGGTAGGGAAACTGATAACTCTGTTCTTGAAAAGTCTCCCATCACAGTCTCAAAAACCTTGTCCACCTTCCACTTCCCAGGATGACTCTGTAGGAATCCCCTGCAGCTGTCTCCTGGGGTGGACCCAGGAAACCATTGGTTCTGAGGACACAAACCTGCATCCTGGGACAGGGTAGAGTGGGTGGGAGAGATTAGTTAGGACATAACCAGAAGGAAGTATGTGGGAAAAAGAGGTATGATTTTTGCCTCTCAGTCCCAATACTCATATTACTAAATAAAGTTTAAAATCTGCTGTTTTTTAATTCTAATTGATAGGTATGACCATAAGCTCCTTCATATGCCCCTGCAGGTACAACCCAGCTTGATATAAAAATGTCAACACAGCAATACAAGTATGGATTCTCTTTAAAAATAATTAAAACTGGGGCACCTGGGTGGCTCAGTTGGCTAAGCGTCTGCCTTCGGCTCAGGTCATGATACCAGGGTCCTGGGATCGAGCCCCGCATCGGGCTCCCTGCTCAACAGGAAGCCTGCTTCTCCCTCTCCCACTCCCCCTGCTTGTGTTCCCTCTCTCGCTCTCTCTGTCAAATAAATAAAATCTTTAAAAAAAATAAATAAAAAATAAAAAAATAATAATTAAAACTAAACCATCAGAATAGGCCAACTAGAGGCATGACTATTTGTTTTATGAAAAATGTTCTCCCTTTATCTCACTTATTTTAAATAGTGAGTATTCCAAAGCCAAATTAAACAAGATTCAATTTAGAAAAATTATATGAACTTTCCACTTTTTCTAGGAACACATCTCTTTCTTCAAATTAAGGTAAATTCCCCCACAGCATTTTTTGCAGATAAAGACCAATTATCCAAATCTTACATAAACTTTCAAATGCCTACTCTTCCTAGTTAAGTACATCCAACACAGAGAAGAGACACCGTGGAGTAAATTAGTTTCTTTCTTCCCTTAAATCTATGTTTCGTATACCTTAAGAACCAGAATAATCATAGCATCTAGGTCACAGAGACCCTATCCTAGCATATCTTTTGTGAATCAAGTGGAAAAAGAACTAGAAGTAAAAAAATTTAGGTTCCACTGCATCTTCTCTGTGGGTGGCCTTTTTCTTCGGCCCTAATATGGGGCTAACTCTTCTGAGATCCTCAATTTGCTCACGGGGGCTGTTTTCAAGACCAGTACTGAATGCCAATATTGTGTTAAACCCACTCTGACCTCCTCTGGCTGTGTCCCCTCCCCCCTACCTTGGGCCAAGGATCCTAAGGGCATCTAGGAAGGGCCCACCTGGAACATGTGTCCCCCAGTTTTAGGCTGTGCTCTGGTAACTTGGAACCCTGGACTTCCTCACCTAAATGGCCCACTTACTGGACCTACACAGCCCTTAACCCCAGGTCTAGACTCAGGAGGATGAACTGTGTGACTGATGTACACACCCCAGGCCCTGGTTGTGTGTGAGGGGCAGGTAGACAGCTCAGACATGCAGACTAATGTGCCTTGAAGTGTGCACCAACACCAGGTGTGGGAAGAAAAGGGGAAATCTTCATTTCTAGTTTGGCCTAGATACGGAAGCCTGCTTAATTCCAATGGTTCTTAAGGTCATAGGTTAAAGGGATTGCCATCCTTTTTTTAAAATTGTAAGCTATGGAATCAACTCTTTACATCAGAAAATTATAGATACTCATACCATTGTGCATGTGAATGACAAGGGATTCATAGACTGAAGCCAGTCCTTGGACAGGTTAAATACTCCTTGTTTATCCTTGTGGCTGCTTTGCATGCCCTGCCCCCAACAACATGCATACAGTTTTTCTTATGATTTCCAGGAGTTCAAAACCCCTTGAAATCCACTCATAGACCACTCCCTTGCATCCCTATCCAAGGTTTAAGAACACTGGGTGTACATGAAAGCACTCTGAAAGCTTTAATACTATGTAGAACTTGAACAGCTGAGTGAAATTAGATATCACACCCTGCCCCATAAGAATACAAAATCTTCTGTAAAGACAACCTGGGTGATTTCCTAAGGAGCAGGATATCTCACATACCTCTTACCTTCCCTATGCATCTGGTCCCATTCTTGCTGCCTGGTATCCTCTGGGAATGACCAGGGTTTAGGAAAGAGTGGACCAAAAGGCCCTAACATGACCCAATCCTGGTTCTTTTTCTAAGTCACATGGCAAAAATACTTCATGGAGGGCAAACAACCTCTGAGATTCAGAAACTGCCTCCTCAAGAACCTCCAGAAGACCCTGGGCCTAACCTCCTGGCCAGGTTGTCTAACCTGGACCCGATACTGGAAAATCTGCACCTCAACCTGGAGTCCAACGACTGCCCCAAAGCCTTGCAGCCACCTGTTCTCAGCACAGCCTGGATGCAATGGCCGTTGACAACTTCCCATTGGGCTTTCAACCTTGGCAACTCTCACTCTCAGCCCAGGCTGGATCCTAAGACCCCAGAAAACCTCTCAAGGACACACTAATTTCATCTTTTGGCCAGTGACTCCCGATAACCTCTGGAGGGCCACAGGCCTCTCCTTCCAGTCACCAGGTCCAGACTCAGTCCAGAGCCCTCAGACAACCTGTCACACTTCAGAGGCCATACCTCATGGCCAATGACGCCACGCAGAGCTCCAAGGGCCTCCAACTGCCCCACAATACGCTTCCAAACCAAGTTAGCCTCAGGGACCATGGACCAACTCAGGGCAAGTTGGCCTGGCCTCTGACCAGCCTGGGCCCAACGGCGCCCGGGAGGTCCCACTGCCAGCCTCGCCAGAGCGAAGGGAGACCGCAGGGACTAAGGCC